ACTCATATGTGATACTGACATAAAAAAATATTCTGCTAATATTGCATACAGCTAACTTTCTGGTTATTAACAACCAGATTTAAAAACTATTTTGGCTTCCAAAAGGATTAAGGGCTTGGATTTTCAAATGTGCTTAAAGGTAAGTCCACTTTGTAAACTAGCTCTATGGTCCTCAGAGGAAAACCTGGCTGTTTAATTAAAAATACAAACAAGTTTTTAATTAAAAATAGTTATTTTGTCTATTGTATCAGAGCTCCAGGTGACAAAAATCTATCATTTCTGAACTTGTCAGCAAAACATTATGGGTTAAAATCTGTTTTAAAAACCCAAACAAACAATAAACAAACAAAAAAAACCCTAAAAACCCATAACCAACTTCCTAGAGCTTGCAACCCTTTAAAGAACATCACTAGCACAACTGTAATTTTTGGTTAAAGAAACATGACTTACAAAAGAACGGCTTTTACAGAGATCTTTGAGTATCTTGGGCTGTGACAACTATATTTCACCAGCTTTGATAAATAATAAAAGAGCCTGGCAAACATTCAGTTTTTCTAGTCCTCCACCTACATGGTTCTACAGTTCCTATCAATACATTATTTATATTTCAGGAGCATTCTCCACATGGTAATCACCTTCTACACCGGTAGGAAAGAAGTCTCTGTTGCAAAGATCTTCCATTTCAAGACAGCAAGGAAGGAAAAGGTTATTCTTTTAAAAATATGGTTTCCTACCCGTAATAAAGATGCATGTTACAAGTAATGGGACAGAGATGCTGCCATTCTAAATGAAAATCTCTTAGAAATATTGAGTTTGAGAAAAATGCTATCTATGGCAATACTTTTCACTATCGTCTTTCTTAAAACAATAAAAGTTCAATAAAATGAAGCCTTAAAAATATAACTCATCTTGATGGCTTCTGTATCTTCCTTGCTTTTTCCATTTATTTGTTTCTCTTCATTCTTTTCACTATATACCTAATATTCACTCCTCTTAACACCATATTTCTCATTCTATCGCTATGTCCTTACTAAAACACAGTCTCTTTAGCACCACTTATGCCGCAGGATTGACCCCAGGAATTTTCTGGAGTGTCTGACCATTTAGTTAGGGGGGTGTGGGTATACACCACACATCTCCACTGACTGTTCTGGATCAATCTCCCCAATCGCTCAGCGCCCCAGAGAAGGGATTCCCCCCAACATAACCCCACAAAGCATGGCAGGAGTTTCAGAAAGGTCTTGCACTGCTGGAAACGAGATTTTTCTTAATAGCTGCAACACAACAGGGCACGTTGCATTGAGGAGTTACCATGGAAGTCGTCAGGGGCTTTATGGGCTGATATGCCAAACTGAGAGTATCCCCCAGCGTGACCCTTAAAGTTTATCAAGCAAGACTGTTGGTAATTTAGAAAGAGTAGCAAGACACACAACTCCAACCAGCTTTGGTTTTGAAAACATTCAGCAGTGGAGTAGGATGCTAAAAAGAAAATATTATGGAAGATTTTTTTTCAGAGTCTTTCTATTCATTATTGTTGATGCCAATCCTCTATCTACTTATGCTTCTAGTGGAGAAAAGAAGGGCATTGTGTAAAGATGGCAATCCACCTTTTTTGGAAATAGAGACAAGGAACCTCATTTCTTTCTAATCCCCAGTGGAATCTGCAATAAGAGCATCTCAGGAGGAAGGCAAAGACATAGCAACTGTATCACAGAAAAATTGTAAATTTAAGGACATGATTTTGGAAACTTAGGCTATGACAAAATAATGCTCTCCAGAGAATTATATTAATTATAAGTTGTAAACATAAATATAACATTTTCAAATTGAAAGGCAGACAAATAATCTACCAGCTATTCTTGCAGGAACCAAGATTTAATTTTTCTACCTTCTGGCTTCATCCTGAGTTTTTATGCAATATATGCTGATGTTGGCAAAGACTCATATGGTTAATTAGTTACACCTAAGATAGTAATGTGCATAAGTGTTTGCTGAACCAGTCCTCCAGCACTTTCATTTGGTATCTTTTTTTTCGCCTGTTTTATTGATTGCAGTTCACACTTGCAAGGAAGAATTAAAATACCTTCCTTCTGTGTAGACAGAGTTGCTGGTTCCATGTGCACCTGTACCTCCATCCATTTCCCAAACACACCCCTCCCTCTAAATCAATGGGAGGAAAACAAACAAGCAAACAAACAACACAATAAAGCAAGAAAAACAATGAAAAACAAAAAGAAAAAAATCCACAGACAATAAAAATATTCCCTTCTTCCCTATCTGCAGTAGAAGACAGATAGATTGAAGAACGTACATTCCATCTGATGGAAATTAGAACTGCTGAAGACTACTGACTGCAATACAACTTAATTAACATTATAGATATGAGATAAGACGTGTAGGAGGGAAAAAACCTAAGAGCTGAAAGAATGTCAACTACCTGGTAGTTCAATATTTGATTTGTTCATTTTTAGTCTGAGGTAAGAAGTTACGCTTTTTCTAATATGTCCCTTGCTGAATAATTCCAGGAAAAGTAATAGGTGGTTCATATTCAGATCGAGACTTTTCTATCTTGCCTAGTGAGGAAACTCCTCTTTTCAACTGCTTTACCTTTAGTCATAACAAACAGAGAGGTGCAGTAAGGAGGCAGTATTCAGAGACCTTGAACTGGAAACACCACCCATGCGCACAATACAGCAGTTGTTCTGTTATCCCAAGCTCTGTTTACCCTGCTTGAACCATCTGAGTTAAAACCTCTGTGTCAGTCCTCTTTTCTCCTATTAACTTGCAAATGGAAGTCAAACAGGGACTAAGCCACTTCAGGACTTTCAATCTCTGTCACACAGCCATGCTCGTTCTCTGCAGGAGGCCCCAGCCACGGCCCAGTTTCATTACAGGTCACGGACCATCCTGTGCACCAACAAGTAAGCGAGTAAGACTGCACTTTCCTATTTGTACCAACCAAGGATTCCACCCAATGCAGCAGCAGCTGCTTGCTTGTCTGCAGAAACTCAGAAGATTATGTTGACTGCCTATAGTCGCCACCCAGTTAACAAGAAAACAAACTCAACTTCAAGAATATACGTACCGATGGTTCGTACGAAACCTTGACAAAATAGATAGCTGGGGGGGGGGGGATGATGACATGACATAACGCCAACCAACCAATCAGTTCTCATCCTGCAGAGAAATGCCTCCAAAATATCAATTGTACGCACAGAAATTTGTTACTAGAAGATCACCAAATCAGCACTCAACTGAGTGACCGCTCTACCAAATGTAAAAAGAAAGGACTGACACAAAGACTTCTCCAAAGACGAGATCTTGGAAATCACTTCTTCAAAAAGCAATACAAAGTATAGCCTAAGCTAGCAGAGAAAACTAAGATCACGCCTTTGTTAATCTATATTAATCTACATTAACTCTCACAGTCGATAGAGGTTCTCTATCTAGGGTATAAGTCTATTTAGGTCTGATTTACTATAGGGTGATTGTTCAAAAGCATGAAGAGGAGACTGGGCGACAGCACAAACCAAAGCAAAACAAAGGATTGCAAGGGGACATGTACAGCTCTGTTTGTGAGTTAAGGACCAGAAATTTCAAAAATTAACTTAGTCACCAAAATCCCACTGAATTTCAATAGCACTTAAGACATCTTACTCTCTGAAACACCACAGATTTTGAGTGGTTTTGCCTAGCAATAGGACTGGTCAGAGAGAAGGTTACTCTACCACTGTATACCTATCCAAATCACACACCTCTTTGGAAGCATGGTAATTCCTCAAGACAATAACACATTCACTCTTTCTTCACTTTACCCAAGGTAAGAGTCCAATAGAGATGAGAAGTTGGGTGTAAGTAGTTACAAATCAACTGAAAAGCAAAAGATACAACAGACTTGTTTCCTGTGTTCCTGATTGATAAAGATGCCAGCAGTGGAGCTACAATAACTCACACAAGTCAGGATTTTCCACTTTACTATGAGTATCCAGAAACATGCTCTTCTCCCTCTGGCCAATTTTTTTTTTTTTTTTTTTTTTTTAATTGCATACATAGTTTACATAGCAAAACATAACCTTTCTTTATTTGTAACTCAAGTTTTTCTGGTCTTCATCTTGCTGGAGAAAAGGCTAACAATGTCAGGATTTGGAGTCTGAAAAAACAAAATAACCAAAATTTCTATCAAAACAAAAGTGGTTATGAAAGTCCCAATTTGGGGGTGGGGGGTGAGCTGTGAAGCCACTCAAAGAGATTTCAGCACAGAGACTTATTTAGCATCCATCTTGCATCTAATGGTAAAGGTTCAGTACCACTCTAGACTACCAGCTTACCTGTACATTAGTAGTACTATAGAATGGGAGAAAGGATTTCCAAGTCCATCATCCTCACCTTGCTATTCCACTGGCCCCAAAAAGGAAAGGCTAGTAAATAGAACATGGTAAGCCTATGGCTTACATAAAGCACTCCAAGTGAAGCATCTGCTAATATGCATACTAGAAATTTTCTTAATAGTGGGTTTTGCATGTTTGCACAGCTGCTACAGATATATGTTCTTTATCGCTGCTACCTTAGGGTTTGTTTTTTTTTTTAACTAAAGTGTACCACTATTAAATCACTGCCACCTTCCTCTCCTCCTCTCCCAATCTGGTTCTCTGATTTTCACTTATTCGCATTCCTCTTCAATTTTAATTTCCTTCTTTATTTAATATCTTTCTCCATCACTCCTGCTAGTCTTTCCAACCTCTCCTTTTGCTATACGATTTTTTCTTTTCCATTTTATTTTTTGGTTTCCTTGTACTTCACTCTCTGCCAACTTGACTTTATTCTCTTTTCCCTTTCTCTGCTGTTCATAAGAATCATAGAATATCTCGAGTTGGAAGGGACCCGTAAGGATCATCAAGTCCAACTCCCTGCTCCTCACAGGACTACTTAACACTAAACCTAACGCTAATGAAGAG